GGAAAAACGTGTTCCTCATCTGGGAAAAGGGGTGAGGGTAAAGTCTTGTGAAATAAGGCTGAGAGGGAAGGAAATGTATTTGAAACGGTAAACTGAAACATAATAATGGGAAACTGAGAAAATATAAATGCAGGAATAGACAAATATATGCGTGATTGAACATGTGGGTTAGATAAATACTTGGCGGTTTTGTTTGTAATGGAGCGCTTTTGTTGTGCCTGGGAATATCGTACGTGCAACAGTGTTTTCTCTCATGGATTGTTTTAATCGCATTTCATCTTGGACACTTTGTGCCTCGTGGTGTTTAATTGGGAAGGTGCTCGTTTGTGTGCTTCGTAAATGGGGATTCCCAGAGTATAATTTACGGGAAAATGCTCGTTTGTGTGCTTCGTAAATGGGGATTCCCAGAGTATAATTTACGGGAAAATGCTCGTTTGTGTGCTTCGTAAATGGGGATTTCCAGAGTATAATTTACGGGAAAATGCTCGTTTTGTGCTCCGTTGGGGTTTCCCAGAGTTTACGGGAAAATGCTCGTTTGTGTGCTTCGTAAATGGGGATTTCCAGAGTATAATTTACGGGAAAATGCTCGTTTGTGTGCTCCGTAAATGGGGATTCCCAGAGTATAATTTACGGGACAATGCTCGTTTGTGTGCTTTGTAAATGGGGATTCCCAGAGTATAATTTAGTAAAAGTGCTCGTTTGTGTGCTTCGTAAATGGGAATTCCCAGAGACTAATTCCCTCTGCCCATCGCTTGCATGGTCGGCCTCTTCTTCGCTTCCCGCCTGGTCTGTACATCATTCCTTACTATGGTATACTGTTTGTTGGCATCCGAGTTATATGGCCAAACCATTTCACATTATGTTTTTTAATAAAATCCACATCTGCCGCCTCCCACATTTTCTTTCGGATTTCACAGTTTCGGTTCTTATCTTTTCTTGTTATATTAGTAGCTCTTCGTAGGATTATCATTTCAGGTGTAATTCTGGTCTCCTTTTCTATCAGTGTCCAGGTCTGGCACTGATAGCACAGGGCAGTGTTGCCACTTTAAATGTTTTACATCCAGATTTAAATGTTTTCCTTGCATTTAAATGGCGTTTTTGACGTTTAGATGGTAGATCTAACCTAAGAAACAGGATGAAATTTGACCTCTCAAATGCTATCTTGACAATAAAATTCGGCCTGATAAGAGTAGGAAAAGGCTGTTCCACTTATCAGCTACCTGATTGAGTATTAAAATAAATTGGAACAGCTCACGCATACCAGAGTCATTTTGAATCTGAAGCTTTAACTTCATCATCCAAGCTAAGTTTATCCTGTGGATCTTGTAAGGCAGACTTCAATAAAGATGAGGACACGATTCTATTGGATAAGTCATTTCAATTGCTATGTAATTTGTGACTCTTTCCATTTGGATGTTTTTTTAAGATGTTTTCCACGCAAATGTAGATGTTTTTAGATATTTTTAAACTCCGTTTTGGATGTTTTTTTGTCAAAGAAAAGTGGCAACACTAGCACAGGGTTGGCATGAGGACTGTGACATAGAGTGCTCTTTTGGTTTCTACCGACGTGTTTGTTCCTTACTTACTTTTTACTTTTTCCTTCCACGTATGCCGCTAAGCGTTGTGGGGAGATGCAAGTTCCTGTCATAAGCAAGGCGGGCAGCATCTGATGTTCTGAGGCCATGCTTTTGGCAGGTTTCGGAGACCCCGTCAATCCACCGTTTCCTTGGTCTTCCTCTTGCCTTATATCCTGAGCTTCTTTGGTTGAAAATTTGTGATGTTATTTGGTCATTTTTCATCCTGGTTAGATGTCCAAACCATTTCATTCTTTGATGTTCTATGTAGTCTAAACATGGTGTAGTTTTGACAGTGTTTCTAATGTCTATGTTCTTTATCCTGTCTAGTCTGGTCTTATTCGCTGCTTTTCTTAGACATTTCATTTCACAGGCTTCTATTTTTCTTTCATGGGTCTTGTTGATTGTCCATGTCTGGCACTGGTAGCAGAGTGTTGGAATGAAGATGGTGTTTATCAATTGTCTTTTGGTCTTCATGGTTATATCTGGATGTTTAAGCAGAGGTGATAGTTGGTATGTGACAGCATTTGCTTTCTGTATTCTTGTTTCTATCTCTCTGTCCATTCTTCCATCCTCTGTAAATATACTGCCCAAGTATTTGAACTCTTTGGTTTGCTTGATTTTGGCACTTCCAACATTTATATTCAGTGGCCTGTGTGTTCTGCTGATCTTCATAACTTCTGTTTTTTCTGTACTGATTTTCATATTATGTTGTAAACAGCTGTTGTTGAGAGTAGTCAGATGTTCCTGTAGATCATATTCATTTTGATACAGTATGCTTTGATCATCAGCAAAAAGTAATTCGTTTATAGCATACACGTCTGGGTTTGCTTCTACAGTGATCTTATCCATGTATGTTATGAAAAGTAATGGTGACAGTACACATCCTTGTCTGACACCAGTTGTGACTTTGAACCATTCAGAAAGACCACTAGATGTTCTTACTGCACTTTCACTTTTTTCATAGAGGGCTCTGATGTTGTCTAATAATTGACCCTGCACTCCGTAATCGTCAAGAATTCTCCACAGCACATCTCTGTCCACACGGTCGAATGCCTTCTCTTGATCTACAAAGACCACGTTCAGCTCTTTATCGTATTCGAGTGTCTTTTCACAGACTTGTCTTAGTGCAAATATGGCATCAGTGCAACCTCGCCCTTTCCTGAAACCGAATTGTGCTTTTACTCAGTAGAGGTTCAACCTTTGCTCTTATCCTACCTTCTAAGATCTTTGCATACATTTTCCCCACATGACTTAGTAAAGATATTCCTCTATAAGTTCCACATTCTCTCTTGTTTCCTTTTTTCTTCCAGATAGGTACTACAACTGATCTTTGCCAATCCACTGGTACCTTTCTCTCTGCCCATGCTCTATTGAAAATTCTCTCCAGCCAGGTGATCATAGTGTCCCCTCCGGCCTGGATGACTTCTGTTGTTATTCCGTCGATACCAGCTGCTTTGTGTCTTTTACTCGTTTTGATAACTTTCTCTACCTCATCCCGCAGGATATGTTTGTTCCTTACTACTGTTAAATTTTGCTTTATGTGTTAGTGGGCATCTAGCATCGATCTCATCTTCTGGTTTAATAGCCTGTTATCTTATACTTCCTTAGTATTTCCCGTTCTTGGTTTGTTTAAGTGGGTGCACTCCAAGCTATATATTGACTATTTTTTCTTCTTTGTCGATGGTCATGATGTTAGAGATTGCATGATGTTCCAAACTCCATGATGTTAGAAATTGCATGATGTTCGAAACTCCATAGTGTTAGAGACAGCGTGATGTTCGAAAGTGCATGATGTTAGAGATTGCATGATGTTCTAAACTGCATGATGTTAGAGACTGCATGATGTTCGAAAATGCATGATGTTAGAGATTGCATGATGTTCTAAACTGCGTGATGTTCGAAAGTGCATGATGTTCTAAACTTCATGATGTTAGAGACTGCATGATATTAGAAACTGCATGATATTAGAGACTGCATGATGTGAGACTTTGTATTATGTTAGAGATTACAAGATATAAAGAAGCAGGATAACTTATGCCAAACATCAAGCAAGAAAAGATGCTGATGATGATGGTGGTGGTGATGATGTTGATGAATCGCTAAGGGAATAATTAATAAGATAAACATCCACAAAAGACACATTATAACTACAACAATTATAATAGGTCCAACACAAAACAAACAGAACCATGTCACATTATACTAAATAAATAAATAGAGGGACAAGGTGTGAACTGAAGAATAATAAAAACATGTGTAAACAGGGCGGGGCAAGGGAAACCAGAAACGGCAGAAAACAGTGCAGAAAACGACCAGGTTACAGGAAAAGAACGTCCACAGATATGCTAGCAACATAAACATGAAACAACTTGCAATATTTCGACCCGTGCAAGGGAAATGGCAAAATAAGATTTGCTGGTGGCGAAAAAGAAACATTGCCGATTAGGCACAATACAGGCATTTGAGTTCAAATATCTGGCGACAACATTCACCGATGATGGTAAATTAGACAAAGAAATAAACATCCGATTGCAGTATAATAGCAAACTAATTATTAGGATCACTAGACCCCCCCCCCCCCCCCCCTTTTTTCCGTTTCACAACACAAGATAATTCCAGTCGTACTGTCAAAAGCCTGTGTGGCTATGGGACGACTGAACGTGAGGCTAGTAATTGACGGAGTAGTACTTAGAAGACTGCATAGCGAATACGCTTTCAACAGCCCACGAAAGTTCCCCGAAACTTCCCACATGAATCATGTTCTTTCCAGCATTGTACTAACAGCAAAAGCCATGGTCATCACAACACACCGGAAACGAAAATCAGTAACCCTAAACATGAGATGTCTGAAGGAGTGACCAGGAGAGACAAAGATCAGGAATGAGACCATAAGAGATCAAGTCGGCACAGAACTAATTCTAAATTACATAAAAAGACAGCAGATCACATGGTTTGCACACTTGGAGAGAACGCCTTGTGACGCTATACTTTGTAAGGCATAAGACGTGGAGAACTAGTAAGACCAAGAACAATATGGAAAAATAACAAAAAAGACAACAGTATGATGTCTTTACGATAGAGGAAGAGGAGGAGGAGGAAGAGGAGGAAAAAGAAGAGGAGGAGAAAGAAGAAGATGAAGAAGAAGAAGAAGAAGAAGAAGAAGAAGAAGAAGAAGAAGAAGAAGAAGAAGAAGAAGAAGAAGAAGAAGAAGAAGAAGAAGAAGAAGAAGAAGAAGAAGAAGAAGAAGAGGAAGAAAAAGGAGAAGGGTGAGGAGAATGAGGAGGAGAAAGGGGAGAAAGGGAAGAAAGAGGAGAAAGAACAAAGGTAAACTGCAGTGATCACAACAAAGGTAAACTGCTGTGGTCACAACAAAAGTAAACTGCTGTGGTCACAACAAAGGTAAAACTTAGTACAAGAGCTTAC